CAGCAGCAGCAGCAGCTGCTGCTGCTGCTGCTGCTCACCCTGTAGCCATGAGAGGAAGTTTTTGCCTGTTTCATTCTTGGCGTTGGGTCGAGTCAAAGCGAGAGCAGCACATAAAATGTCTGCTGCTCTATTTGCTGCTGCTTCAGCAGAAAGTCCCTGCTGCTGCAGCTCCTCCAGCAGCCCGTCGCGCAGCTCCCGGGCCTTTAGCGCCAGCTGCAGCACGACCCCAGCAGCAAGAGCACCAAAGCTCCCAGCAGCAGCAAAGCTCCCAGCAACAGCAGCAACCTCCTGGCAGCAGCAAAGTTCCCAGCAGCACCAACAACACTTACCGCAACGGCTGTTGTTCCCTGGAGGGCTCCTGCTGCTGGATCTCCCAGGCCGTCGAGCTGCTGCTGCTGCTGCTGCTGCGGCTGCTGCTGCAGCGCAGCAACTCCTGGGGACTCAATGGAGAAAGCCGTACCCTGAGGAGTGCGGCAGTCGCTGCTGCTGGTGGGGGTTACATCCCCGGAGGTGTAGTGGCTGAATCTGCTGCTGCCGATGCCGCCTCCCAGTTGCTGCTGCTGCTGCTGCTGCTGCTGCCAATCCTGCTGCTGCGGGGAGCTCTCCCCCGAGGCCGGCCCCAAACCTTCTAGCGCATTGCGCATAAGAGCGTCAAGCTGCTTCTGCAGGCTGAGAGCCTCTCCGAAGTCAATCCATTGCTGCTGCTGCTGCTGCTGCTGCTGCTGTTGCTGCTGCTGCTGTTCCACAGCGCTGCGTCCAAGGCCCCCCACTCGGCGGCTCGGCGCAGCCAGTTGCTGCTGGCCGTTCGTTTGCTGCTGCTGCAGCTGCTGCTTCTCAGGCGCTTGCTGCTGCGGCCTGTGTTGGTTCCTCTTGTGCAGGGTCCGGCTGGAGGTGGCCTGCTGCTGCTGCTGCTGCTGCCTGCTGCTGCTGCTGCAGCGGCTGCACCCGCGAGAGCCTCCCACGCCCTGCGTCTGGCAAAGACACGTCAGAGGATAGTCAGGGGTGTTTCTTGAGGGGCCCCCACCAGCAACATCAGCTTCCTGCAGCAGCAGCAGCTGCTGCTGCTGCTGCGCCTCTTCCTGCTGCTGCTGCTGCGGGGCAAATAAGACAGGGGACTCAGCCAGTTGCTTCAGCGCCCGCAGCAGATCGGCCTCTGTAACTACTCCAAGCTGTCTCTGCATGGCGTCGAGGTCCTGCTGCTTCTGCTGCTGCTGCTGCTGCTGCTGCGGCTCACTACCAGCAGTCAGGCATTGTGGCTGCTGCCGCTGCTGCTGCTGCTGCGAGGGGAGCAGAAGCGCTCGCCGGATGTCTTTGAGAGGGAGGTGGGGCAGCGACGGCTTTGGCATTCTCACCTGCTGCTGCTGCTGCTGCCGCTGCTGCTGCTAATGGGGCTGCTGCTGCTGCTGCTAATGGGGTTGCTGCTATTAAATTTGCAGCGAGGAGACGTGGCTAAGGGACCCACAAATGGCATATGCCTCCACACCTGCAGGAGAAACAACAAGAAACTGCGTCGATTGTGCTGCTGCTGCTGCTGCAGCTGCTGCAGCTGCTGGGAGACGGACAGCAGAAAGGAAAATACACAAAAGAGTTGAGAAAACTAGCAGAAGGGGGCAGCACAGCAGCAGCAGCAAGAGCAGCAGCAGGAGCAGCAGGCCTGGGGGGCGGGGCAGGGACCGCAGCAACAAGTCTTATCCCCTTGCTGCGCTGCAGCTGCTGCAGCTGCTGTGTGTTGCTGCTATATTAGTGCTGCTGAGGGAAATGGCACAAGGAGCAAACTGCCGCTGCCGCTGCTGCTGCTGCTGCTGCAGGCGCAGCCGGGAGCTTGTCTTCGCGCAGCAACTGCCGCTGGCGCTGCTGCTGCTGCTGCTGCTGCTGCTGCCCGGACAAAGACAAAGGGAGAAGCAAAAGACAAGCTTTGTGTGTCTAACACGCACTGCGTGGCTCGAGGTGTTCGTACACTAGCAGCAACTTACCTAGGGCCTGCAGCAGCAGCTGGGGCTGTTGCTGCTGCTGCTGCTGCTGCTGGGGGCGCCCGGCTGGGGGGAGCCAACCCTATGGACCACCTAGCTGCTGCTGCTGCTGCGCCTGCTGCTGCTGCTTATTTGAGACAGAAAGAGACAGAATAGAAACGAAATGCTGCTGAGCTATTCGTGCCAGGCAGGGAGACAGTGAGGTGTATTTGCAGTTGCAGCACGCACGCTGACACACGCCGCTGCTGCTGCTGCTGCTGCTGCTGCTGCTGCTGTCGATGGCTGCTGCTGCCACTGCGTTGGGCGAATCGGGCGGCCCTAGGAAGACACACACAAACTGAAAAGACCTAAAACCATAAAACAAAAAAATATAAGAAATAAAAATGCATAAGGGAGCAGCAGGCGCTGCATTAGCTGCTGCCGCGGGGTGTGCCGTGCTGCTGCTGCGGAGGGAGACAAGGGGCTGATGCTGCTGCCGGTGCTGCTGCTCCTGCTGCTGCCTCTGCTGCTGCTTGTCCCTGTCCCTATCTCTCCCCCAGATTGTGTGTTAATGATGCCAGCTGCTTCTCTCCCGCCTATTCCCTGCGCCGCGCTTAGTTTGCGGCCCAGCACGCCAAACCCTAAACCCTAAACCCTAAACCCTAGACCCTAAGCCCTAGTTCCAGCCCGCCCCGCGGCCGTCTCGCCAGCCTCGCAGCAGCAGCAGCAACTGGGGATCGTCTCCAGCCGATCCCGCAGTTGTTCACAAGTCTCTCTTGGGCTGTGGGGCGCAGCAGCAGCTAGCCGGGGTGTACGTACACCCGAACCCAGATAGGGCCTCACACCCCACACGCGTGAGGGTCACTTCTGCTGCAGCTTGGCTGCGGGACCCCACACCTTCCTGCCTGCGAGCAGCGGCAAGCAGCAGGAGCAGCAGCAGCGGCTCCCGCTGCTGCTGCTGCTGCTGCTCCGCGTGTGGAGTCGGCACGCGGCCGCGGCAACAAAACGGTGCCCCTGTGGGGTGTACGTACACCCCACAGGGGGGCCCCAGTGACCTTTGGGGAGAACTAGCTGCAGCTTTGAAAGCTCAGTAGCTTCTCTGAAACACTATGCAGCAGCAGCAGCGGTAGGCGCTGTCTTTGCTGCTGCGGCACTGAGAGAGTCTGTTACGGCACAGAGACCCTGTGATTAGCTGTACTGGCTAGCTGCAGGACTAACTGCAGCAGCTAGCCCAAGCTGCAGCGCAAGTGCAGCAGCAAGCCCAGCTAGCTGCAGCACAAGTGCAGCAGCTAGCTCAGCTAGCTGCAGCACAAGTGTAGCAGCTAGCTCAGGTAGCTGCAGTGACTAGCCAAAATAGCAAGCTAGCCGTAGGGACAAGCTGTGCTGGTTAGCCTCCTAGCTGCAGCGGCTGGCTAGCTGCTGCAGCGGCTGGCCAGCTGCTGCAGCGGCTGGCTAGCTGTTGCAGCGGCTAGCTAGCTGCGGCTAGCAAGCTGTTGCAGCGGCTAGCTAGCTGTTGTAGCGGCTACCTAGCTCCTGCCGCGGCTAGCACGCTGTTGCACCTGCTAGCCAGTTGCTGCAGTGGCTAGCTGCTGCGTCGGTTAGCTGCAGCGTCGGCTAGCTGGTGCAGTGGCTAGCTGCTGCATCAGCTAGCTGCAGCAGCTAGCTGATGCAGCGGCGAGCTGCCGCTGCAGCTAGCTGCAGGTTGCTAGCTAGCTACCGGGGAAGAACCTGCAGCACAGCAGCCGTGCAGACGTGAGACATAGGCTGCAGCGCGTTGCTGCTGCTGCTCCGCAGCTGCTGTTTGTGCTGCTGCTGCTGCTGCTGAGTCCGCTGCGACCGGGTGACCCAACAGTGTTCTGTTGGGTCACCGACAGCAATCTTTTGTGATTTGTTGCAGCAGCAGCAGCAGCTGCTGCTGCATCAGTTGCAGCAAGAAGCGCAAGTGTAGATAGGCACAAGTGCAGCCCTAGCTGCCCATACACTGCAGCAAACAGGAAGCCGCACTGAAGTGACTTCCGCAGCGCATACAGCTGCTGCTGCTGCTACTGTGCTGCTGCTGCGCTGTCCATATTCTGCTGCTGCTCCTTCACTGCAACGAGTTACGACGGCCTGCTTAAGCTGCTGCAGAGGCAGCAGAAGCCAACGCCACAGCAGCTGCAGAAACCACTGCTGCTGCTGCTGCTGCTATTTCTGTGTAGCTGCCTACACAAACTCCCCGGAGGCAATTCAACTCTAATTATTTGCTGCTTCTTTTTCTGTGCCAGGGCCTTCAGTGCTGGCCAACGGCACGTTGTCCGCTGCAGCAGCAGCAGCAGCAAAGTGCGAGGGGCTGCAGCAAACCCAGAAGCAGCAGCTGCTGCTGCTGCTACTAAAGCTGCAGCTGCTGCTGCAGCTGCTGCAGCGGATTCCCTCCAGTGTGAATGGCTTTGCATGCAGAGGGCCGTGAGGCGTACGTACACTGCAAGGCCCAGCAAGAAACTGCACCAGCCCAAACCCTAAACCCTAAACCCTAAACCCTGAAAGGGACTTCTCAGGACACTATTGGGGCCTTAAGACGCAGCTAGTCGTTGAACAAAGGGTTTGACGCAGTCTGAGTGGCCACACACGCACGCAACCCGTAAACCCGAAACCCTAAACACTAAACCCTAAGCCCCAAACCCTAAACCCTGAACCCCGAATCCCAAACCCTAAATCCCACAGCTTCGTATCGGGACACACCTGAAACATCACTGGACGTTCGAAAAGGTGGCGTGCATTGGGTGCGCCTCTTCCGTCTGAGAACAAACCCTAAACCTAAACCCTAAACCCTAAACCCTAAACTAGCGCTACGCCTGGCCAAAATACCGTAAAGAGCTGCGAAGCTCTGCTTCTGAGCCCTCTCGTTTCGAGTTACTGCGGAGGATCTCGAGTCCTTTATCTAGGGTTTAGGGTTTAGGGTTTGCAGCAGCGAATAACTCACCCTGGGCTAGAGCAGCAGGCGCAGGCGGCTGCTGCGAAGACAGCATCATGCTGCTGCTAGGGGGCAGCCCCGCCCCGGCCTGGACTTGGGCAGCTGCAGCAGCAGCAGCAGCAACAGCAGCAGCAGCAAATGTAACAGCGGCAGCAGCGCTACTGCTGGTAAGCGAAGACAGCGGTAGAAGCGGAGGGTGCTTCTCGCCTCTACAGGCCTTAAACCCTAAACCCTAAACCCTAAACCCTAGACGCTAGCTCCCTGAAGCTTACGGGGAGGCGGCGGCCCGTTAGAAAGTCTGCTTGTTACCGGTTGCTGCCTCATAAGTTGCTGCTGCTGCTGCTGCTGCTGTTGTGGCTGGCGCGCTTGCTGCTGCTGCTGCGCGGGCAGCCGCTGCTGCGGGCCTCCCGAAGTCAGCGAAACGCCCAGCTGCTGCTGCTGCTGCTTGGGCGCTGCCCGCTGCAGCTCCCGCAGGTCCGAGTCAAACATGGCGTCAATGGTGTCAAAGTTAAGGGCTGCAGCAGCAGCAGCAGCAGCAGCAGCAAAGATGGCAGCAGCACGATGTAATTCGGTTGGTAACGCATGGGAGAGGAGAACACGCAATCACGAAAAGGAGCAGCAGCAGCAGCAAAAGCGGCGGCAGCAGCAGAGGCAGAAGCAACAGCAGCAAAGGCAGCAGCATCAGCAAAAGCTGCAAAAGCTGCAGCAGTAACAGCAGCAGCAGAATCTAACCTGCAATTTGCGGGTCCCGCTGCAGCACCGCGGCTGCCTTCTTCAAGGTGTTCAGCTGAGACGTCAGCGCGCGCCTTTCCTCCACAATGTGCGAGGGCTGCAGCAGCAGCAGCAGCAGCAGCAGCAGTGTAGAATACATAGGACAGGCGCTACGACAACCAGAGGCTTCCGCATGCAGCAGCGAAGCAGCAAACAGCGAAAGAAGACAACTGAGCTGCAGGAAATCGAGGAAAGAGAAACAAAAAGTGACAAGCAAGGGATAAGAATTAACGCTGCAGCAGCAGCAGCAGCGGCAGTAGCAGCAGCAGCAGACAAGCACCTCCCCCAGTAGCGATGAAAAGAGCTGCTCGTCGTTCAGTTTGTTATAAAGCTCAAACTGCAACTTGTCCTGCAGCTGCCGAACCAAGAAAAAGCCAATCTTCTTTGGCACCTGCAGCAGCAGCAGCAGCAGCAGAGCAGCAACAGCAGCAGCAGGAATATGCCACGGGTGCTACGCGCGTTTCTCTCTTGAGCTATACGTGCCTCTCTGTGTCTTTTGCTCCTTTACTGTCACTTGCTAGCTGCTCCCCCTCTCCTGTTTGCTGCTGCTCCTGCTGTTGCTGCTGCTGCTGCTGCTGCTGCTGCACTCACTGTGTCCCTGACGTTGTGCAGCACCAGCCCGAAGTAGGCGTCCAGCCGCCGGCGGATCTCCTGGATGAATTGCTCTGACACAGCAACAGCAACAGCAGCAGCAGCAGCAGCAGCGGGAGCAGCAATGAGGACCCTTCGTGGCTGCACTGCTGGTCCACCAGCCAACTATAACACTTCTCACCATCACTGCTGGCAGCAGCAGCAGCAGCAGCAGCAGCCAAAGCAAGAGCAGCTAAACCGGCAGCAGCTGCGCCCGCTACCACAAGAGCAGCACTCGAACGAGCAGCATCGAATAGACAGCATCAGCAGCAACAGCATCATCAGCAGCAACAGCAGCAGCAGCAGCAACAGCAGCAGCAGCAAAAGCAGCAGTAAATTACCGCTGTAGACAGGCCTCTTCTTGTCTTTGCTTGCCCACAAAGTTGACATTTGGTTTTGAACTTGCTGCAGCATTTGCTGCGCCCTCTCGGCGTGAGTGGGCTGCTGCAGCGGCCTGCCGTCGGGGCCAATGCCTAGCTGCTGGTGCTGCTGCAGCAGCTGCTGCTGCTGCTGCAGCTGCTCCAGCGTCAGCTGCTGCTGCGTTATCATCGTGCCGTGGTCCTGCAGATACCTGCAGACGCGATCGCCCAGCAGCAACAGCAGCAGCAACAGCGTCAACAGCAGCACAAACCCCAAGAGCAGCAGCAGCAACCTCATGCAGCAGCAGCAGCAGCGGCAGCATGCCCCTTCACCGCGGCCGACGGTGCAAACGCGCCGCTGCTAGTGCTGCTGCCGCACCAGCACCCGCTGCTGCCGCTGCTGCCGCTGCTGCTGCTGCCGCTGCTGCTGCTGCTCCTGCTGCTGCTGCTCCTGCTGCTGCTGCTACCGCACCAGCACCTGCTGCTGCTGCTGCTGCTGGCTCACCGTTCGTCGTTGGTGAAGAGGTATCCGAGTTCTGCGTCCACGTCGTGCTGCAGAATGTCTCTTGTTGCTTCTTTTTCTCTCAAAAGAATTTCTTGAGAAATTTCCAAAACTCTTTCAGCGAGGGCTGGAAAGCGACAAAACACTCTTTCCGCCACGCGCTGCGAAAGACTCTCCAGCGTCTGCGCCACCCGCTCTGCAGCAGCAGCAGCAGCAGCAGTAGCTGTTGGGGCAGCAGAGTAATTCGGGCAGCAGCAGCAGCTGTTTGAGCAGCAGCAGCAGTAACTGGAGCAGCAGCAGCAGCAGAAACGGAGGGAGCAGCAGCGGCAAAATCAACGCAGCAGCAGCCCTTGCTTCCCCCAGCAGACGCAGCAGCAGCTGCGCCCAACAACCGACAAAAGCACCGCAGCCGCAGCAGCAGCAGCACCGCATCCGTAGGAGCAACACAGCAGCAGCACCCCCACCACCCCAGCAGCAGCAGCACCCCCACCGCCCCAGCAGCAGCAGCACCCCCACCACCTCAGCAGCAGCACCACCACCACCGCAGCAGCAGCAGCAGCAGCAGCAGCACCTAAGCAGTCCATGACGGGGGGCGAGAGCTTCTTGAGGTAGGGGAGAATGAGGTGTTCGAAAGTGTCTGGAGAAGGAAATCCAGGAAGAGATTCTCCTTCATGCAATCGAATTGCATTTTCAATTTGACTGTCCGTTATGTCTTCCGAGATGTTCCGCTCGCAGTACTCCTCTAGCAAGCTCGTGTACTCGTGCCGGATGCACGAACCAATGGTCAGGCACTGGTCCTGCAGCAGCAGCAGCAGCAGCAGCAGCGAGTCGCGCAGCAGCAGCGGCTGCCGCCGGCCGCGGCCAGACGACGAGGCGGCAGCGGCGACGCCAAGGGCTCAAGCAGCAGCAGCACGGCCGCTGGTGACGCCAGCAGCAGCGCACACAGCGGCAGCAGCAGCAGCAGCGGCAGCAGCAGCAGCACCTGGTCGAAGTACTTCTGAAGGCGTTTGTCGTATTTGCCCCTAATGGCACTTTTAATAACTTCCACAAAATCCGTTATGGCCGTCCACAGCAGCTGCGCGCGGTCGCGGGACTCCAGAGGCACTCCCTGCAGCAACAGCAGCAGCAGCAGCAGCAGCAACTGGTTAATTATTATACGTTTGATGGCCCCGCGCAGTCAGAGCCGAGGGCGAAAAGCCCAAAGCGCCAGCAGCAAAGGCCCCAAAGCTTTCTATTGAAAACACCCTTAATTCTCGAAAGCTGCTGCTGCTCCCGCTGCTGCTGCTGGTGCTGGTGCTGGTGCTGCTGCTGCGGGCGTCCCACCTCGCCGAGCTCCTGGATGCGGGTCTGGACAGTCCTGGCCTTGGTTTGGATTTCTTTTCGGATTTCGGGAAGAACATGTTTGATGTGGAGAAAAAGAACTCTTGTGAGTTTTTCAACTAAAGAAGGAATGCCCCAGTACTGCTGTCCCATGTGTCCATACACCCCGTGGCTCTTGAAGTACTGCCGCTCTTCTTCCAGACACCGCTGCACACTTTTCCCCGCCTTTATGTCCGCCTGCGAGCGGTTTTTCACGCCTGCAGCAGCAGCAGCAGCGAGGGCGGCTGTCACCAGCAGCAGCAGCAGCAGCGGCAAGAGCAGCACTGCAGCGGCAGCAGTAGCGGCACTGCAGTAGCACCAACACTGCAGCAGCAGCACCACCACCACCACCACGACCACAACAGCAGCAGCAGCAGCAGCAGCAGCTGGCCTGTGTATCCGAGTCTGAGGGGAATCTCTTCTCCCAGCAGCATTTTGCATGCATCAGTTCCGCTGTCCATTAAATCCACTTTTGTAATAACTCCAATTGTACGTACACCCCGCGGGTCTACGCGGCGGGCCAGCTGCAGCGCGTCGGAAGTGGACATATCTGGCGGAAAAAGCCAAAAAGAAGTTCATTTTGTTTCTATTTTTCATTTAATTGTCTTCAGTGAACTCAATTTTTGTTTACTTCAACTTTTAACTCCACTAAAAGCGAAAGAGCGAAAAAATTCACACTCCAACAGACCGCCCGCACAGCTGTCTGTACACCTTTAGCTCCTTTATGTCGGCAGTTTAATCCAAATAATTAATTCAATTAGTCAATTTAATTAATCAATTAAATTAATCAGTTCAATTAACTAATTTAGGCATTTGATTCAGCTGATTTGTTGCTGCCGAATGACGCACCCGCGTTTGCAGGCAAAACCGCCAAGATGATTGTCCGCGGGTCCGCTGCGTATCTGCAGCAAACAGCAGCAGCAGCAGCAGCAACAACAGCAGCAGCAAAATGAGCAGCAGGTCAAACACCCCCAGAAAAATGCCGCCGCCGAGGCATCCGTTGGGGGCCCCACAACCCCCTTATCAATAAAGCAGCAGCAGCAGCAACAACAAAGCACCCTTACATATCCACTTGAATTAAACAGGCACCAACAAATTAGCATTCCAACACAAGACCGTTCTGAAAAGAAGCTAGGGGCCCCCCAAAGCCCCCCGCGAGCCCCTAGGGGCCCCCCAGGGGGCCCCCGGGGGGCCCCTGGGGGGCCCCTGGGGGCCCCTGGAAAGGGTACTTGCCTGAGGGCCATTTGCCTGGTGAGGGCCTCGATGTCGTCGGACTGGTCGCTGCCTTTGAGGGGCACTCGAGTGATTCCGGGAAGGTCAATTAAGGACAAGTCGGGGCACCTGGTGGCGTAGACGGTGAGGACTATGGGCGAGTCCACTATGCCTTTGTTCTTTCCTGCAGCAGCAGCAGCAGCAGCAGCAGCAGCGGCAGCAGCAGCAGCAGCGGCGCCGGGGGAGGGGGAGGCGTAATGCGGGGCTGCGGCTGCGCGCACAGCTCCGGGTGCGCAGGGCGGGAGCGGGGAGGAGGCGGAGAGGTGGTGCCGCAGCAGCAAAACACGGTAAGCAGCAGCAGCAGCAGCAGCAGCAGCAGCAGCAGCAGCAAAGGCTCTGACCTGCGACCTCGTCCGTGAGGCGCTCTATTTCTCTCCGGACTTCGTCGAAGTTTCTAAACTTCTTGTCTTTTGCAGAGTCAAAAACCGCAAAGGCTTCCTCCGGAGAGTGCTCAGCTGCAGCAGCAGCAGCAGCAGCAGCAAGAGCAGCAGCAGCGGCGAGTCCACGCATGGAAAGCAGCGTCGAGCGAGCCCCCTCGCAGCGTGCGGCAGCGGCAGCACCCGCAGTAGCTGCCGCAACCTGCACCTGCACCTGCTGCTGCTGCTACCGCTGCTGCTGCTGCCGCTGCTGCTGCTGCTGCTGCTGCGGGCAGTGGGGTGTACGTACACTCGGGAAGATGCACCAGCCGCAGCTCCAGCGGCCTGCGGGTGACGACGCCGTCGCCTCTGGGCAGAAAGTCCACCCCCACAATTGCCTCCAACACAGAGCTTTTCCCTGCAGCAGCAGCAGGAGCAGCAGCGGCAGCAGCAGCAGCAGCAGCAGCGGATTAGCTTCAAGGTGTCGCCCGCAGGGGCTCAGGAAGCGAAGTATAGAGACCACTGCAGCGGCCGCTTCGCTACTGCTGCTGCAGCTGCTGCTGCCAACAGCAGCAGCAGGGAGGCATGCGGAGCGCGAGTGGCGCTCGCGTGTCTGCTGGTGCTGCAGCAGCAGCAGACACGCGAGC